CAAAGTTATAATTTTTGTGTTAAAAAAAATTAAACCATGAAAAACTAACAAAAAATTGTAAACCATAGTTTTTTTTACATTCTTTGACAAGATTATAACAGTAATTTGAACTAAATAACATTTTAAAACACTAATTATCTTATACACATTTTTAAATTTTGTCTCGAGGTTATAGTTTTTGACTTAAAAAAAATAATTAAACCATGAAAAACTAAGAATGAGGTATATTGCCCCCACTTGTGGCTTGCTGCGCGCGCATGGCAAGTGGTGGGGGTCAAGTGCGGTGTTTAATACTCGTTTTTTTACAAAAATGGTTTTTATATGATGATGGTTTTAAAATTGTTTATTTAAATAATAAATTTAAATTGTTTTTTATCTTTACTTTAGATATTACCGCCATGATATGCTAAGAGAATCATCAAATAGCCATAGAAACCACAAAAAGTAAACTAATATTGCCATGGAAACACTTAATAATAAGTCTATTTAATTTTTTTTTGTGATGTCATTTTTTTAGTTGCTATGACTATTTCAAACACACTGACTAGAAACAAGGCACTCTAGACGAAAATCAAAATAATAATTAAAGACTTTTTTTTCAATATTCATCGCAAAATTTTTTTTTTTAATAAAATATCCTCGTAGTTGTTTTTATAGACCATGAAAGAATTTTTTGACGAGATTATAACAGTATTTTGAACTAAATAACATTTTAAAACACTAATTATCTTAAACACATTTTTAAATTTTGTCTCGAGGTTATAATTTTTGTCTTGAAAAAATGAAAAACTAAGAATCTTCAGATTTCTGATGAGTAGTAGTAACGAGGCACATTTCCCCCTCTTGCGGCTATTTGCGCGCGCATGGTGGGGGGCAAACGCCACGTTCCCTACTCAAATTTTATCGTTTTTTCCGTTTCAATGTCAGATTTTGCCGCCGTGGAATGCGAAAAAATCGGGCAATATCTCGTTCAAATTCCGCACGAATGAAGCAAACGGTTTGATCCTTTTCAACGGAGGAGTGCGTCCTCCTCGTGTGGATTTATTCGCAATTGAGATATACAATGGGCATATTTACGTGCATTTGGACTTGGGTTCGGGCCATTCGAAACAAAGAGGCTCTCGACGAAGAATCGACGACGGGTCGTGGCACGAAGTGACCTTCCGGAGGACTGCAAGAGACGCGAGGATCACCGTCGATGGCTTTCACACCGATTTCAAGACGATTGGTGAGTTGAGTTCTGGGAGTAATAAATGTTGATAATTGTGTGCATAGAGGGTTCAACTAGTTTGGAACTTGATGGGAACATGTACGTGGGCGGTTTAGGTCCCCCCTTCTCTGAAATTCCCATTCCGGCGGGATTGTGGACTGCTGTCTTACAACAAGGATTTGTGGGATGTTTTAAGGATCTCGTTATGAACAACGAAGCGGTTGATGTTGCTAGCTACGCCCGTGAACAAGACTCTGGTGAGTTATGACCCAACGAAACGCCTCTATTAATTCAATTCATTTTTAACACAATTTTCTTGAAAAAGTCCATTAGTGACTTTTAAATGGTAAAATTTAAAAAATATATATATACAGGGTGCGCCAGAACTCGCGTTGCAGAGAAAAATGTCATGTAAGGTAAGATACCAGGAACATGGAAATAATGTTAAAAAAATTTTATCTATAAAAATTTCAAAGTTGTGAGGGTTTAAAGTTTGCACTTTGACTCTATTTATTTCTGTTGTATAAATAATTTTCCAAGTTTTTTTGCTATAGGGTATTAAAAGAGCTGTATCCTAAATTGTAACTCTGTTCAATGTTATTTGTGGCTTTTATTGGCAAAATTTTTGTCCCTTTACTAAATAATTCATCATCAGCATCATTAAATAGATATAAAAAATGTCAAATGTCAAAAAATAAATGTCAAAATTTTTTGACAGAATTTTTTTAATGTTCCTGGTATCTTACCTTACTTGAAAATTTTCTCTGGGGCGCGAGTTCTGGTGCACCCTGTATGTTTCTTGGCACTTTTATTAGTCGATTTCGCTTAGTTTTAGAAATAAGACGGTTTTTTTGACGAAAACATGCATTTTTTAAAAATTTATTACACAAAAACTAGAACAAAGCTACAACCAATTTTTTCTTACATCTGCAAAGAAGAAAGTACAGAATTTAAAGCTGTAGCAATTTTTTAGTGTTTTGCATTTGTAAAGATTAATAAATTAAGAAGTTTGTTAAAAGTTAAATAACTTAAAAAAATTAAATGTAACACCCTATTTTTTATTTTTGCATCTAATAGATTGATAAATTGTCTATCTAAAAAAATAAACTTTTAATGTCTACAATTGATAAATGAAAAGATATTTAACATTCAATATTAATTGGAGCAACAATGATTATCAATATCTGAGCATTGTTGATACTATGGTAATCATAGTAATTCCACCACGGATCACTTATCCCTTGATTTATCCAAAGATTGTAAAAATCGTTATAAATGCTGAAATTCGAATTATTTTATTGTAAAAATAAAGAATAATGGATTCAGTTTAACACAAATGTGATTATTAAGTGATATTTCTTCCATCTCTTGTGCAACTGTGCACTTTTTGGCTACTGAAACAATAGTAAGTATTTTTTTAATGTTTAACGTTAAATATCTTTTTAGTTATTATTTATAAACAGCTAAAAGTAATAATTTTAGAAAGACAATTTAATAATCTTTTAAATGCAAAAACAATAAATAGGGTGTTCCATTTAAATTTTTTAAGTTATTGAACTTTTAACAAACGCCTTCATTTTTTTATCTTTGCAAATGCAAACACTAAAAAAAATTTACAATCTTATGGCTTGTACCTTCTTCTTTGCTGTAGTAAAAAAAATATTTCTAGATATCTTAGTTTTTGTGTAACATATTTTTTAAAAGTGCTTGTGCTTGCATTTGCAAAGATAAAAAAATGAAGGCAAGTAGATCTCATGATTTTCATAATAAAAATTATGGTGATTTTTTGGACATGAAAAAAACTGTTTTTCGAGCATTTTCCACGTTTTCAACCAGAAAATTGATTATTTCGTCAATTTTTTTCAAAAAACTCTGCCAAATTGATTAAAAATAGTTCTGTTTGCTTTCAACAAGGCTCAAAAATCAGAATTTATTTTTGTCTTTTTCGAATACTTTTTCAGCTAGAAACACAATTATATCGCAAAATTTCGTTAAAAGCAATCCAAAAATTCAACAAATTCGATCAAAAACGGCGTTATTTTTGTTTTTTTCAAGTGTTTAAGCACATTTTTGAGATAAAAACAAGGAAAATTGTAACAATTTAGAGCTAAACTGTTTTCTCGGACCGATTGATCAAAGTTTTACAAGAGAATCCAAAGAATTAATTGTTTCTGAACTTTATGGAATCTTCATCAAAATGAAAAAAGTTTTTTTTTCATTTTTCTACAATTTTGAATGTTAAATTTGAAAAAAAATAATCGAAAAAATTAAAAACAATTTTTTGATATTTGTGAAAATGAAAAAAATCAAAAACCAATTTTTGAGACCATTTATTTAGCTTTTGCATACCCTAATTTTACTCATTTCAAATTAATTGCATTTGTGAAAAGTTGATACCCCCCAAGCTGTATTCAGCACTAGATTTACAAACATTCATGCAAATTTTCAAAAAAAGTCATTTTTTTAATTGTTTCCGATTTTTTTTTCAAATTTAACAATAAGTGTATTATTTTTCAAAACTCAACAACTTGAAGCAATTTGCAGCTGTGAACATGTACTATTTTTATTGCAAATATTATTTATTAATTTTTTTCTTTTATAGTAAGTACACAAAAAATTATATTGTTTTTCAATTTTTTAAATATTAAATACAATAAATTCAGCAAACAAACGGAAAAATAATTTTTTTGTTTATGCACCCATTGAAAATACAGGGTGTCCCAGCGACTTGAAAAAGTCCATTAGTGACCTTTAAATGGTAAAATTATATAGGATATTGATAGATACTAATCTAGTCAATCGCCTAAAATTATTTTCAACTATACAGCGTGTCTCAAAAATAAGTTACAATAAAAACTTGTGTTTTTTTTAATGAAACACCATATGTTTTTTAGCGTATTTGGATGTAAATTTTTGTGACAATGTTTTTACACTAAACTTTTATTGGTCGATTTTGCTTAGTTTTAAAAATAAGGCGGTTTTTGTGCACTTTTTAAAAATTTATTACACAAAAACTGAGACATCTAGAAATATTTTTTTACTACTGCAAAGAAGAAGGTACAAGCTCTAAAATTGTAACAATTTTTTAGTGCGTTGCATTTGCAAAGATAAGAAAATGAAGGCGTTTGTTAAAAGTTCAATAACTTAAAAAAATTTAATTGAACACCCTATTTATTGTTTTTGCATTTAAAACATTATTAAATTGTCTTTCTAAAATTATTTACTTTTAGCTGTTTATAATTTAGATAGACAATTTATCAATCTATTAGATGCAAAAATAAAAAATAGGGTGTTCCATTAAATTTTTTTAAGTTATTTAACTTTTAACAAACTTCTTAATTTATTAATCTTTACAAATGCAAAACACTAAAAAATTGCTACAGCTTTAAATTCTGTACTTTCTTCTTTGCAGAAGTAAGAAAAAATTTGTTATAGATGTCCTAGTTTTTGTGTAATAAATTTTTAAAAAATGTATGTTTTCGTCAAAGAAACGTCTTATTTCTAAAACTAAGCAAAATCGACTAATAAAAGTTTAGCGTAAAAACAGACTACATCTAAAAATGCCAAGAAAAAACACAAGTTTGTATTGTAACTTATTTTTGGGACACGCTGTATAGTTGAAAATAATTTTAGGCGATGGACTAGATTAGTATCTATTTTTTTTTTTAATTTTACGATTTAAAGGTCACTAATGGACTTTTTCAACTCGCTGTGACACCATGTATATCACCCACACTATAATTAGGGTAAAAACCCCCCATTGTGTCTACATCAACAAACATAAAACTTTTGAATTAACAAATTCGACAAAAAGTAGATTAATGACGTCAAATAAGTGCAAGCTTGCTTAACTTCACCTTGAGACATCAAAACAATAATAAAATCAATAAAGCACCAGTCACGCGATGTAATAATATTTTCGTCAAGCGACACATTCTCTAAAACTATATTTAACTTAAAATTTGCGAAATTGTGTCTTATTTGGGTTAATTCAATTTTTCCTTTCACCAAGGGAAATATTAAATTATTTTGCTTTGCAACTCGACGATTTCTTTTTGTGTAACTGATTCGCTTGGATGCAAGGATTAGTGGCGAGGAGGGTGGTTTCCAATGAAATAAAACTGCTTAGTATTCAAATAATTCACGTTTAAAGGCTTAACCGAGAAGTGTTTGCATTTAAATCAAAATAAAAAAAAACTGTATTTCCAGTCTAGAGTGATTGGGAAATCACGCTGGCAACAATGCAACTTCAAACTATAATGTTACCATGGTTACATGTATAATAACCCTGGAAACGTTGTTTCTTTACAACTATTTCCATAGTAACTAATCAGTTTATTAGACGTATCCATGGCGAAACAAAGCACTCTTAAAATTTGACAAAAAACCGTTATTTAGTTTGATTTTGAAGTTTTTGTTTTTGTTATTTATATGATTCGGTTATAACCGGAACAGTTAACAGTTAATAACCCAGAAACTATTACCGATAAACTATTTGATAAAAAAAAGATCATTGCCCTGCGATTCACAGTTATTGAGAAAATTGCTAATAAAAACCAAAGTAGTCAAAATCCATACTATAACTTTGAAACTATTAGAAATTTTGCATTTTTCTCGGCGTCAATCGATTTCCCAGAACATTTTACATACGAATGACACAAAATATTGACCATTTTTAACATGGTTTAGCCGCAATTCTAAAAATTGTGAAAATTTTATTAACCCTTTTTACCGATCTTTTGAGCACTGATTGGGCATTTTTGCGATTTTTTTCAACTTATTTTTTTTCAAATTTAACTCAAATCAATGTTTTATGCCTTTTCTGACTCTCCAGGACACATAAAAATGCAAAAAAACGTTTTGAAACTGACTTTTAAGTTTTCCGTTTTTTCGATTTTTGGCTATAATTCGTCAATAGGTTATAACCGAAACGGTTTACAGGCGATAACTCGAAAACTATTACCCCTAAATCTTACTGTTTAGCACCATTGTAAAGCACTTTTAATTTCCTATCTTATGAAACAAAGATCATTGTTCTAAGATAAATAGTTATTGAAAAAATCGTTAGTAAAAACAAAAATTGACAAAATCTATACTTGACTACAACTTCTAAACTATTAGGAATTTTGCGGTTTTTTCGACGTCAATCGATTTCCTGGAATATTTTACATACGAATCATACAAAATATTGACAATTTTCAATATACTTTAGCCGCAATTTTAAAAATTGTGAAAATTTCATTAACAAATTTTTTTTTCTTATTTTTTAATCATGTTACATTTATTGCAATATAATTAACAATTTTACGTGTATTGAGACCATATTTTAAATGTTTTTAGCAATCTTTTGAGCACTGATTGGGGATTTTTGCGATTTTTTCAACTTCTTATTTTTTTCAAAACTCAGAAATCAATGTTTTATGCCGTTTTCTGACTTTCTGGAACCCTTAAAAATTCAAAAAACGTCTCTAAACTGACTTTTAAGTTTTCCATTTTTACGGTTTTTGACTATAATTCGTCAATAGGTTATAACCGAAACGGTTTACAGCCGATAATTCGAAAACTATTACCCGTAAACCTTACTGTTTAGCACCGTTGAAAAGCACTTTTAATTTCCTATCTTATGAAAAAAAAATCATTGTTCTAAGATAAATAGTTATTGAAAAAATCGTTAGTAAAAACAAACATTGACAAAATCTATACTCGACTACAACTTCTAAACTATTAGGAATTTTGCGGTTTTCTCGACGTCAATCGATTTCCTGGAACATTTTACATACACATCATACAAAATATTGTCCATTTTCAATATACTTTAGCCGCAATTTTAAAAATTGTGAAATTTTAACAAATTTCTTTTCTTATTTTTTAATTTTGTTACATTTATTGCAATATAATTCACAATTTTACGTCTGTTGAAACCATATTTTAAATGTTTTGAGCACTGATTCGGGATTTTTGCGATTTTTTCAACTTCTTATTTTTTTTTTCAAAACTCAAAAATCAATGTTTTATATCATTTTCTGACTTTCTGGAACCCTTAAAAATTCAAAAAACGTCTCTAAACTGACTTTTAAGTTTTCCATTTTTACGATTTTTGGCTATAATTCGTCAATAAGTTATAACCGAAACGGTTTACAGCCGATAACTCCAAGACTATTACTTGTAAACCTTACTGTTTAGCACCGTTAAAAAGCACTTTTAATTTCCTATCTTATGAAAAAAAATCATTGTTCTGGGATAAATAGTTATTGAAAAAATGGCTAGTAAAAACAAATATTGACTCGACTACAACTTCTAAACTATTAGGAATTTTGCGGTTTTCTCGACGTCAATCGATTTTCCGGAACATTTTACATACGAATCACACAAAATATTAACCATTTTCAATATACTTTAGCCGCAATTTTAAAAATTAACAACATTTTTTTTTATTTTTCAATCTTGTTACATTTATTGCAATATAATTCACAATTTTACGTCTGTGGAGACCATATTTCAAATGTTTTGAGCACTGTTTGGGGATTTTTGCGATTTTCTCAACTTTTTTTTAAAAAATTCATAAATCAATGTTTTATGCCATTTTCTGACTTTCATTGATAAAATCTATACTCGACTACAACATGTAAACTATTAGGAATTTTGCGGTTTTCGTGCAAATTATGCAAAATTTCAACCATTTCCAATATACTTTCGCCGCAATTTACAAAATAAAAAAAGTAAAAAACTTTCAAATTATAAGTTATAAGATTTTTTATTTGGTTATAACCGAATCGGTTATAAGCAAGCACTTTTAATTTCCAATTACATAACCATGGCAACATTACAAAACCCTAGTAACTGTTATTTTAATCGACACAGCCCCCTTATTTCTAGGCTCAATCCGCACCCTATGCCACACCCAGCCCCAACAATGCCCCTCGCAGCCCTGTCTCAATGGGGGCGTATGCACCGAAGGTTGGAACCGTTTCGTGTGCGACTGCACCAATACCATGTTCACTGGTCCAACATGTGGTAAAGAAGCAGCAACATTGAGTTTCAACGGTACCCAACACATGGAAGTAACAATGGACGCAGAAATGCTCACCCAAACCGAAGACATAATAATCCGTTTTCGGACCAGCAAACCCTTGGGTCTTCTCCTCATCACAAGCACAGTCGAGACCGGCGATCGAATCGAGTTGGCCGTGGCCGCCGGCCGTATTCGGATGGCCTTGCGACTTGGTGTCAAAGAAAAGAAACAGGAAGATCGCGAAAAAGATAAAATTCTTCTCGCCGGTCAAAATGTCAATGATAATCAATGGCATACAGTGAGGTTTTCGCGTCGAGGGGCGAATTTGAAGCTTCAATTGGATGGTCAAAGTCCGATTCGGGCCGAAACACAGGGGAAGTACCAGAGTTTGCAGTGGCGTACGGTGCATCTCGGGGGGTTGTACCACTTGGAGGAGGAGATTAGTATGACGACAACAGTCCCCAATTTTATCGGGGAAATACAGCAGTTTTATTTCAATAATATTCCGTATATTGAACTAGCCCGGGCTTTGAGTAGCGAACAATCAATCTCGGGGTTTCCCACGATTAAAGTAGCGGGGAAATTCGTCAAACACGCCACTGATAATCTACACAGACCGGTCACGTTTCGCTCCAAACACACTTTTATTGGTTTACCAATGTTGAGGGCTTATTCGAGTATCCACATTGATTTTATGTTCAAAACACGGGAACCAAACGGTTTAATCATGTTTAATGGTGGTAGAAAGGAGGATTTTGTCGCTGTGGAACTGGTCGATGGGCATATCAACTATATAGTCAATGTGGGTGATGGTACTGTGACCTTGAGAGATACCACAAGGTCACATTTGAATGACAATAGATGGCATACTGTTGGTATAAGACGACCATCTGTCAAACAACACACTTTAATGGTCGATGATGATATTGTGATTGCGACCAATCATGGGAGTGGGAATTTGGAATTGGATGGGATTTTGTATCTGGGAGGGGTCCATAAGGATTTGTATGGGCAGTTGCCACAAGAGGATGTCAAGTCGCGGCATGGGTTTGAGGGTTGTATTGCTGGGTTGGATCTAAACGGGGAATCCCCGAATATTATGGAGGATGCAGTGGTGCACAGTTCGTTAGTGATGGCAGGTTGTGAAAGTCAATCGGCGAAATGTAGTCACAATGTGTGTGCAAATGGCGGGATTTGTGTCCAACAATGGCATTCGTATACGTGTGATTGTGATATGACGTCATTTACGGGACCCACATGCTCGGATGGTAAGGAGGATTTTCAGGTCAGGGGTGCCACCACCAGTTTTTGAAAAAAAAATTGTTATTTTCGATACTGAGACCGAATTTTGCGACACGAAGCGAAGCTGAGTGCTGCAGTGGAGGTCGAAGACCTGAAAAATAAGACAGCGCACGTGTATCGAACAAAATTTTTCATGATCATCTGCGGAATTTCATAAAAACGTTAATTTATTGAAAATTTTGAGGTTAATTTTGACAGATGTCAAATCAAGTATATAAATTGAAAAATTTATATATTTAATTATATACCACTTTTCACCTTATGTATCTAAGGGAACGATCATGAAAAACCGTTTTTGTCAAGGCTTTATTTACTATAAACAAATGTGCTATTTCACGACCCAAAATCAAGCAAAAAAAGTGACGTTTTTTTACAACGTTTTCGATAAATTTTTTCAAAAAAGTCAAAAAAAACCACCAAATTGGTCTGTTTATTTTTGTCTTTTCCGATTAGAAATACAATTATTTCGCAAAATTTCGTTAAAAACAGTCCAAAAATTCAACAAATTTGATCAAAAATGGCGTTATTTTTGCGCTTTTCAAATGTTTTTGAAGACAATTCTAAAAATTTCGTTAAAGCAGGCTAAAAAATTACAAAATTAAATCGAAATTGATTTCATTTTTCAGGTTTTTTTTTGCAAGATTCCGCTAAAACGAACTGAAAAATTAACATATTAAGTCGCAATTTACATTAATTTTGCATTTCTTGGGAGTTTTGGCACGTTTTTCAGCTATAAACGCAATTATTTTTCAAAATTGGTTAAAACCAAGCTTAAAAAAACACAGAATTAGATCGAAAATGATATAATTTTTTCCTTTCTCGAAAGTTCAAATTGATTTTTAAGCTGAAAACAAAGAATCAGGCTACATAATTACATCGAAATTCATATCATTTTTCAATTATTTTTAAAAAAATTGTCTAAACACGCTTTAAAAAATCACAAAAATAATTGATAATGATGTTATTTTTTTTTGTTTATTTCACTCAATTTAACCAATTTTTGAGCAAAATAAGAGAAAAATAAGCCGAGAATGTTTTGAAGCACATTTTTGTACTACTTAAAATCTTACTTTTTTTTCAAGATTTCTCTAAAACGAACTGAAAGATCAACAGATTTAGTAGAAAATTACATTAATTTTGCATTTCTTGAGAGTTTTAGCACGTTTTTCAGCTAGAAACGCAATTATTTTGCAAAATTGGTTTTGTTTCACTCGATTTAACTGGTTTTTGACCAAAATAAAACAAAAAGAAGCCGAGAAATGTTTTTAAACACGTTTTTGTACTACAATCTCAGGTTTTTTGCGAGATTTCGCTAAAACAAACTAAAAAATAAAAAAAGTCTAAAAGCACATTATTTTTGCATTTCTCAAGCATTTTAGCACGTTATTCAGCTAGAAAAGCAATTATTTTGCAAAATTAGTTAAAAACAAGCTAAAAAAACACAGAATTAAATCGAAAATGATATAATTTTTACTTTCTCGAAAGTTCAAGCAGATTTTTCAGCTGAAAACAAAGAATCAGGCTACAAAATTACAAAATTAAATTTGAAAAAAAATGTCCAAACACGCTTTAAAAAAAACACAAAAATAATTAATATTGATGTTATTTTTTTCGTTTATTTCACTCAATTTTAGTTTTTTTTCAAGATTTCTCTAAAACGAACTGAAAAATCAACATATTAAGTCGAAAATTACATTAATTTTGCATTTCTTGAGAATTTTAGCACTTTTTTCAGCTAAAAAGGCAATTCTTTTGAATTTTTTTTAAGAACAAGCCAAAAAAACGCAAAATTAGACTGAAAAATGATATAATTTTTTTATTTTTCGAAAATTCAAGCTGATTTTTAAGCTGAAAATTCTGTTTTTTCGTGAGATTTTGCCATAAACCATGTCAAAAATCACTAAATTGGTATAAAAAAGATTATAATATGATATTTTTACCTAACTCTTAGGCTTTACTTGATCATTTCGTCAAAATTTCTCGAAGACAAAATAATCGAGAAACACTAAATTGGTTAAAAATAGTTCTATTTGTTTTTTACAAGATATTACTAAACAGAGTTAAAAATGACAACTTATTTATGTCTTTTTTGAATGCTTTTTTTGCTAGAAACCCAATTATTTTGCAAAATTTTGTTAAAAAAAAGCCACAAATTCAACAAAATAGCCCAAAAACGACTTTTTGGCCTTTTTCGAGTGTTTAAGCATATTTTTGAGAGATAAAAACAAAAAGTTCGAAATATTGCGTTGAAACAGGCTAAAAAATTATAAAATTAAATCGAAATTGAACCAGAAGTTCATTTATTTAACAAAATCTTGTCCCAAAAATCATAACAAGGACTAATATTGATGTTATTTTGTTAGTTTCACTCGATTTAACTAGTTTTTGAGCAAAATTAAGACAAAAATAAGCTGAATTAAGCAAAATTTGGCCCGAAAATGCTTTTAAGCGCGTTTTTGTACCAAAGTCTCAGGTTTTTCACTAGATTTCGCTAAAACAAACTATAAAATCCAGAAATTAAGTCTAGAAATGCATGTCATTTTTGCTTTTTTCAAGAGTTTAAACGGGTTTTTAAGCATTTTTTCGCGAAATATGGCCAAAATTTGGCGTGTTTTTAATAATTTTTTAATAATAATTTTTCTAGAATCGGTTTCGTACGAATTTGGGCCTAATCGAGGCATCATCACTTACACATTCCCTGAAGATAACCGACCTGAAATGCAAGAAGACACAATCGCTTTGGGTTTTATCACAACAAAAGCAGATGCGGTTTTATTAAGGATCGTCAGTGGAACTTCAAATGATTACATCGAAATGGAAATTGTTAATTTTTTTCTCCATCAAAAATACAACCAAAACTGATAATTTATTTCAGGTGGAAGGAAACATATTTGTAGTCTACAATTTAGGATCAAATGATCATCCTTTAGGCGAAATTTCCTTGAAAGTGAACGATAATGCATATCATGTAGTGAGATTTCACAGACAAGGCTACAACTCCTCGCTTCAAATCGACGACTATAACGTGCAAACGAGCCATCCTTCAGGTATTTCCCCTTTAAAACACTCGCAGTTGCCATAGTAATGACAAATAACCATAGAAACTAAATATTTTCCCATTTAAAACACTCTCAGTTTACATAACAATGACAAATAACCATAGAAACTAAATATTTCCCCTTTAAAACACTCTCAGTTTCCATAGCAATGACAAGTAACCATAGAAACTAAATATTTTCCCATTTAAAACACTCTCAGTTTCCATATTAATGACAAATAACCATAGAAACTAAATTGTATTGCCATGGAAACAACTAATAATCCTGTTTGTTGTCTTGACATATCCATGATAACGTTGAACGTTGCTGAAAATTTCATTTTCAGGACATCAGTTGCAAGTCTTCAACAGCCAATCCCAGATCCAGATTGGGGGCAAATGGAGCAAAGGCAAGTCGCGTATTGAGCGCCCCTTCAGCGGCATCATCTCCGGAGTGGTCGTAAATCGGCTCCGGGTTTTGGATCTAGCCGCTGAAAAAGACATCCATGCTTCGCTACGTGGCGATGTTCAGTTAATTTCAGGAATTTTGGATCGTCACGATCACTTGCAAAAAATGCAACAAGTACGTGATGCGCCCTGAAAAAGTGAAACAATCGTTTGAATTTAATAAATTTCAGACTCCGGCTTCCGGGTTTCCGGGCGTTGAAGATGACCTTGTGTTCAGCGGTGCCGGTTCCGGGTGTAACGGTGACGATGAGGATGAGTGTCCACCGTTACCGGAAACTGGATCCGGTGATGATGATCTCATAACTCCGGTTTATAATCCGGTGACGAAACCGACGCCGACTACGAAAAAGCCACATAAAGCGCCACAAGAAGGGGGGAAGCCGTGCGACGATGAGGATTGTTTCACGGGTTCGGGCTCGGGGGAGGTCACCGAGGAGACGGCCATCACCTCGCACGCCACTGGTATGGGTTGGTACAGGGTTGCCACGTGTGGTGATTTTTTTTAAAAACTCGAAAAACCACCAAATTTCGCTAAAAACAATCCAAAAATTCGACCAAAAACGGCGTTATTTTTGCCCTTTTCAAGTGTTTAAGCACGTCTTTCAGATTAAAATTTAAAAAACTCTCAATATTTCGTTGAATCAGGCTATAAAATTAAATCATTTTTTATTTATTTTGTCCAAACACGCTTAAAATTGATATTCATGTTATTTTTGGAAATAAAAAAAAACTGTTTTTCAAGCATTTTCTACGTTTTCAACCAAAAAAAAGTCAACCAAATTGGTTAAGAATAGTTTTGTTTGTTTTTTTACAAGATTTTACTAAACAAGATCGAAATGACAATTTATTTTCTCTTTTTCGGATACTTTTTCCGCTAGAAACACAATTATTAGCAAAATTTCGTTAAAAACAATCCAAAAATTCAACAAATTCGACCTAAAACTGTGTTATTTTTGCCACGTTTGTATAATATAAACAAAAATTCAAATCAAAATTGAAATAATTTTTCATTTATTTTGAAAAATTTTGTCCAAACACGCTTAAAAAATCACAAAAACAATAATTGATACTGATGTTATTTTTTTTGTTTCACTCGATTTAACTGATTATTAGAGTAAAATAAAACAAAAAGAAGCCGAGAATGTTTTTGGACACGTTTTTTTTACAGTCTCAGTTTTTTGCGAGATTTCGCTAAAACCAACTGAAAAATCAACAAATTAAGTCGAAAATTACATTAATTTTGCATTTCTTGAGAATTTTAGCACGTTTTTCAGCTAGAAACGCAATTATTTTGCAAAATTCGTTAAAAACAAGCCAAAAAACAATGAATTAGGCCAAAAATGATATAATTTTTTCCTTTTTCGAAAATTGAAGCAGATTTTTTAGCTGAAAACTCTGTTTTTTCGTGAGATTTTGCCAGAGGGCATGTCAAAAATCACTAAATTGTTATAATAATAATTCTTAGGCTTTAACTTGATCATTTCGTCAAATTTTCTCGAAGACAAATAATCGAAAAACACCAAATTGGTTAAAAATAGTTCTATTTGTTTTTTACGAAATATTACTAAACAGTCGAAAATGACAATTTATTTATGTTTTTTTCGATACTTTTTCAGCTAGAAATACCATTATTTTGCAAAATTTTATTAAAATCAAGCCACAAATTCAACAAAATAACCTAAAAACGGCATTTTTGGCCTTTTTCGAGTGTTTAAGCGTGTTTTTCAGAGGTAAAAACACAAAAAGTTTAAAATATTGCGTTGAAACAGGCTAAAAAATAACAAAATTAAATCGAAATTGAACCAGAAGTTCATTTATCTTATCAAAATCTTGTCCAAACACGCCTAAAAATCACAAAAAATTGATATTGATGTTATTTTGTTTGTTTCACTCGATTTAACCATTTTTTGAACAAAATTAAGACAAAAATAAGCTGAGAAAACACAAAATTTGACCCGAAAATGCTTTTAAGCGCGTTTTTGTACCAAAATCTTAGGTTTTTCACTAGATTTCGGTGAAACAAACTTAAAAATCAAAAAATTAAGTCTATAATTACATTTCCGGAGCATTTTGCACGTTTTTCAGCTAGAAAAAAAAATTATTTCGCAAAATTTTGTTGAAAAATCACAGAGTTAACCCGAAAGGCATGTCAGTTTTGCGTTTTTCAAAAGTTTAAGCGGATTTTTTAGCGTTTTTTCGCAATCTGGTGCAGATTTGGCGAATTTTTTAGCTCATATCTGGTGAATTTTATGTTAATCTTTCCTAAAAATTATTTTTTGTGTACTCCAGATAGCAAAAAACAATTAAAATTAACAAAGTAATTAACATAGAGTAGCAAACATAAAGATTTTTGTTATTATTGATGCTATTAAATTAGTTCTGAATGACATTAATGACATTTTTTGTGTGAATTGGCCTTTAAATTAAAGATGCATTTAGACTTCTACTACCTACTTGATGCACATTAATAAAAGAGAATACCGTGTTTAATAATTTTTTATTTTGGTTTTTTCATGTTTTCAACACTAGTTGTTACCATATATCCATATCTAACGTTGCTATGGTTATTTGAAGCACTCTAGACCAAAAAATCGTTTTTTTGTAGATGTGAGTGTGACAACCCCCGATAATTCGAGCATGCGAACCTCCGATGGTTCCACCCCAACATCGCCGACTTCGATTTCGTCAATCTCATCGTCTAGTGAGAAAACATCTGAATATTCATCGATGACAACCCCTCAAGCCACCACACAAGCCGAAACAACGCCGCTTCACGTCACAACTGAGGACTTCCCCCGAACATCCACCGAGAAAATCACCTACATTTATCGTCCCCCACCCGATGACAAAATCTACAACACGAAGACGCGCTATAAGCCAACCGAACGCATCACCACCAAGACTTCGGACACTGTCGCCCTCATAATCGGGATCATCGCCGCCGCTCTCATCGCCGTCATCCTCATAATCCTCGTCATTTTGAAGTTTAAGCCGCGAAACGACGCCGCCTTCAAAGTCGAAGACAAGGGCTACAACCCACAGGGGCCCCTCTTGGGGCCGAGCACCACCAATGGCCACCAATACCAACTCAACGGTGCTTTGCGAAACGGTGACAAAAACAACCAAATGCAACAAAAAAAGAAACGCGACAGTAAAGACATTAAAGAATGGTATGTGTAAGTGTTTTTGTTGTTTTTTTGCATTTCTCGATTGTGACTCCGAGCCATTTAAGTGATGATGAGTGACTGAAACAACTAATCAAGTGATATCTTCGTACTCTCTCTCTCTCTCTTCGGTTGTCTTATATCTACTACTACCAGTGTTGAAACAAGACAATGATGGTCAGTGTTTTATATTGCAAGGACACAGGCACGGATTTTTTAGTTTTCGACAATAATTATAGGGCATTTTGAGCAAAAACTGGTGGAAAAGTCAATCAAAAGTAACGTTTAATTAACAAAAACAAGTTTCCAAAGTGATAACAGTAGGCCATGATTGTGTAAACCGCGCTTTAAATGTGAAAGAGGCTTTTAAAATTAAACATGAAAGTTAATCGTTTCCAAGGTGACAGTAATAACCATAGTGATAACACTGTCACCGTAACTGTGTTTATTAGACATCTCCATAGTGACAGTACGTTGCTATGTAAACCACAGCACTTTAGCGGGAATTTTGAATTAAACGTTATTAAAAAAGAAAAGGGAACGCTGAAGAGACTGCATTTGAAACAAATAATATCACATCATATCAAGTAGTAGTTCATTGAGCATTTAGTCGTAGAGGAACCTCACCTAAAGTGCTGTTACACGGAATAATTTCACAATTTAGTTGATCCGTGCCTGTTTTCATGTATAGAAATTGCAATTTCGAGAAAAACCATCATTGGCATTACTTACCTACACTATAACATGCCTATAAATCCTTTACAGTGACACTAACTTGTAATTAAAATAGCAATACAGAGAATTTAAAATAGATTATGCGTTTAAATAAGATTTTCATTAAAAAAAATAAATTAGTTATTTGTTGTGTATAAAAAGAATTGTAAGTAGTTACGATAGCATTTTGTATTATACTTTATGATTTTGTTAGAGCTATAATAAAATGGCGTATATTTGGATGTTAAACTTTTTTATTATTTCACTCATTTTTCCACTTAAAAATAGAATTGTTTTCACCGACTTGTAAAAAATCAACAAGACGAGGAACAAAACAGTCAAGATGAAGAACAACGTCGATTTTTATTTCTACAMCAGGTTAATAATTGGTAAAATTAAAAAAAAAACAGACCCCAATATTTACCAAGTTAAAAGAAAGTGCAAAACATTCCCTGTTTTCGTCAAAAACCTAAAAAAAATCTTTTTTTAGATATCTCAAACTGCGTTTTCATTGTTGGAACCAATAAAAAAACCATAAAATTAATCCGTAATTTAGAAAATTTAAAATTTTTATTAATTCACACTGTTTTGGTTTTTTTCGTGATTTTTCGAATTAAAAATAGAATTGTTTTCACCGACTTGTAAAAAATCAACAAGACGAGGAACAAAACAGTCAAGATGAAGGCAACAACGTCGATTTTTATTTCTGGACCAGGATAATAATTAGTAAAATTTAAAAAAAAAACAGACCCCAATATTTACCAAGTTAAAAAAAAGTGCAAAACATTCCCTGTTTTTGTAAAAACTTAAAAAAAATCCTTTCTTAGATATCTCAAACTGCGTTTTCATTGTTGGAACAAAAAAAAAACATAAAATTAATCCGTAATTTAGAAAATTTAAAATTTTTATTAATTCACTCTGTTTTGGTTTTTTTCGTCATTTTTCGAATTAAAAATAGAATTGTTTTCACCGACTTGTAAAAAATCAACAAGACAAGGAACAAAACAGTAAAGATGAAGACAACAACGTCGATTTTTATTTCTGGACCAGGATAATAATTAGTAAAATTTAAAAAAAAAACAGACCCCAATATTTACCAAGTTAAAAAAAAGTGCAAAACATTCCCTGTTTTTGTAAAAACTTAAAAAAAATCCTTTCTTAGATATCTCAAACTGCATTTTCATTGTTGGAACAAAAAAAAAACATAAAATTAATCCGTAATTTAGAAAATTTAAAATTTTTATTATTTCACTCTGTTTTGTTTTTTTCCTCATTTTTCGAATTAAAATTAGAATTGTTTTCACCGACTCGTAAAAAATCAACAAGACGAGGAACAAAACAATAAAGATGAAGGCAACAACGTCGATTTTTATTTCTGGACCAGGATAATAATTGGTAAAATTAAAAAAAAAACAGACCACAATATTTACCAAGTTAAAAAAAAGTGCAAAACATTCCCTGTTTTCGTCAAAAACCTAAAAAAAAATCCTTTTTTAGATATCTCAAACTGCGTTTTCATTGTTGGAACAATAAAAAAAAACATAAAATTAATCCGTAATTTAGAAAATTTAAAATTTTTATTAATTCACTCTGTTTTGGTTTTTTTCGTCATTTTTCGAATTAAAATTAGAATTATTTTCACCGACTTGTAAAAAATCAACAAGACAAGGAACAAAACAGTAAAGATGAAGACAACAACGTCGATTAATAAATATTGGAGTAGATTGAGTTTAGTTGAGGCATTTTTCAAATGTTCTGCTCCTTTGTATTTCAACACGTGTTCAACCCAATGAACGGCCTTATCTAACGGTTTTATTGGCTCACTTTTGATAAGTGATGAGCGAAGTTGGACGTTTTCCCGATACCTGAAACCCCAATTATAATAATTGTAAAAATTCCAATGAAATTACTTTGAATTATCCAAAATTTCTTTAATTGCCTTGCTGAAGGTTTCTTCGTTTAAATCACTCAACTCGAGTTTGATTGCAAACCCTTTCCCCACACAATCATCGATGTTTTTCCTCTGGTCCCCAAAAATGGGGATTCCAATAATTGGAACACCATGAAAGACAGCTTCAATCGTACTCAACATGCCCCCATGTGAGATAAACAATTTTACATTGGGATGCCCCAAAATGTCATTCTGGGGTAACCACCCCCCGATTTTGACATTCTTCGGCACATTTATCAATTCTTCGTCACTTTTGAACAAAACTCTCATTTCTAATCGTCCCAAAACCGTTAAAATCGCCCCTAATTGCCCACTTGACAAGCTTGAAATCTTAACATTGGAGCCCAAACTGAAAAAAACAGCCCCACTTTTAGCCCCATCCAAAAACTCCCCCAATTCCGGTGGTAGTTTTTTGGGGTTGTCGACATGCAATCCCCCCACTTGGACCACATTGGGGACGTAAGGTCTCGGATTTTCGATGCTGTAATGTGTGTTGACAAACACTAAAGCTACGATCAAGTGCTGTAAAGTGGGCGCGTCGGGGAAGTGTTTCCTCAGGAGGGATTCTTGTTGGGTGTGGAAAATTCGCGACATGATGCAGTAATCCATCCAAACGGTTAAAGTGTTAATTACACGTTGGAAAAAGGTCATTTCGGCACTTGGTGCGAAATGGGGGTTTGTAAGTGGGATGTAGGAAGGGGGGGATGGGTTTCCCGTGATGCGATCCAGGGCCGGGACGAGCCATAAAGTGTTGAAGAGAATTACAGGGGCGTTCCAGTGGTTGGCGAGTCCTAGTAAACTTTCCGAAAATAAAGGAAATTGAATCACCAAATCGAATTTTTCGGATTTTAAGTTTTTCACTTGTTGGTGGGATAAAATAATGTCACTCAGATTGTAGAATATGTTCAAGGTCATGGTAAATTGGGTCAGGAATGTGTTGTTTGGGCCCAGAAATTGTTGCAATTTTTCTGGAAAATTTTAAAATTGTGTTAATAATCGCGTTTTCATCTTAATGTGATCGAAGTAGTCGGTGAAAAGCATCATTTTAAGGTGGCAACCATGCAAAAATTTTAATTTGAACCAGTGTTGCCAGGTGTGGTGAAATTTCACACGATCTGGGGATTTTCGTGGCAGTCTAGTGATTTGGTGACAAATTGAAATGGAAAAAACTGGTTTTCACTCATTTCTCACGTTTTTAACTAGAAACTTGATTATTTTTTGATTAGTTCTGTTTATTTTTCACTTTTTCGAATATTTTTTCAGCTAGAAACACAATTATTTCGCAAAATTTCGTTAAAAACAATCCAAAAATTCAATAAATTTGATCAAAAATGGCGTTATTTTTGCCCTTTTCAAGTATTTTTTAAAGAAAATTCTAAAAATTTCGTTAAAGCAGGCTAAAAAATTACAAAATTAAATCGAAATTGATATCATTTTTCGTTTATTTTGAATTTTTTTTCCAAACACGCTTGAAAATAACAAAAACAATTGATATTGATGTTATTTTTTTTAGTAGTCGGTGAAAGGGATAATTGTAAGGTGGCAACCATTCAAAAATTTTAATTATAACCAGTGTTGCCAGGTGTGGTAAAATTTCACACGATCTGGGGATTTTCGTGTAAGTCTGATGATTTGGTTACAAATTCGAATATCTGGTAATTTTTTTGAAATGGAAAAAAACTGTTTTTCCTTCATTTCTCACGTTTTTAATTAGAACTTGATTATTTCTTGATTACTTCTGTTTATTTTTGTCTTTTTCGAATACTTTTTCAGCTAGAAACACAATTATTTCGTAAAATTTCGTTAAAAACAATCCAAAAAATCAATTTGATCAAATATGGAGTTATTTTTGGGCTTATCAAGTGTTTTTCAAACAAAATTCTAAAAATTTCGTTAAAGCAAGCTAAAAAATTACAAAATGAAATCGAAATTGATATCATTTTTCAATTATTTTGAAAAAATTTGTCCAAACACCCTTAAAAAAACAAAAATTATTGATATTGATGTTATTTTTTTCTTTATTTCACTCAATTTAACTGATTTTTAAGCAAAATAAGACAAAAATAAGCCGAGAATGTTTTTAGGCACCTTTTTGTACTACAATCTTAGGTTTTTTGCAAGATTTCGCTAAAACGAACTGAAAAATCAACATATTAAGTCGAAAATTACATTAATTTTGCATTTCTTGAAAGTTTTAACATGTTTTTCAGATAGAAACGCAATTATTTTGCAAAATTGGTTAAAAACAAGCTAAAAAAGCACAGAATTAGATCAAAAATTATATAATTTTTTCCTTTTTCGAAAATTCAAGCAGATTTTTAAGCTGAAAACTCTGTTTTTTCGCGACATTTTGCCATAGCATGTCAAAAATCACTAAATTGTTATAAAAAAGATTATAATATGATACTTTTACCTAACTTTTAGGCTTTACTTGATCATTTCGTCAAATTTTCTCGAAGACAAAAAAAACACTAAATTGGTTAAAAATAGTTCTATTTGTTTTTACAAGATATTACTAAACAGAGTCGAAAATGACAACTTATTTATGTCTTTTTCGAATGTTTTTTCCGCTAGAAACACAATTATTTTGCAAAATTTTGTTAAAAAAAAGCCACAAATTTAACAAAATAACCCAAAAACGGCGTTTTTTAGCCTTTTTCGAGTGTTTAAGCGTGTTTTTCAGAGATAAAAACATAAAAAGTTCAAAATATTGCGTTGAAACAGGCTAAAAAATAACAAAATTAAATCGAAATTGAAGCAAAAATTCATTTATTTTGCAAAATCTTGCCCACAAACGCCTAAACATCATAACAGATTGATATTGATGTTATTTTGTTTGTTTCACTCGATTTAAATGGTTTTTGAACAAATTTAAGACAAAAATAAGCTGAGAAACTACAAAATTTGGCCGAAAATGCTTTTAAGCGCGTTTTTGTACCAAAATCTCAGGTTTTTCACTAGATTTCTCTAAAACAAACTAAAAAATCAAGAAATTAATTCTAGAATTACATTATTTTTGCATTTCTCGAGCATTTTAGCATGTGCTTCAGTTAGAAACACAAAATTTTGTTAAAAACAAATCACAAATTCAACAAAATAGCCCAAAAACGGCGTTTTTTGACCTGTTTTCGAGTGTTTAAGCATGTTTTTGAGAGATGAAAACACAAAAAGTTTGAAATATTGCATTGAAACAGGCTAAAAAATTACAAAATGGAATCAAAAACGAAATAATTTTTCATTTATTTTATCTAATCTTGGCCAAACATGCCTAAAAATCACAAAAAGAATTGATATAGATGTTATTTTGTTTGTTTCACTCGATTTAACTAGTTTTTGAGAAAAACTATGATAAAAATAAGCTAAGAAACCATAAAATTTAGCTGAAAATGCTTTTAAGCGTGTTTTTGTGCCAAAATCTCACATTTTTCACTAGATTTCTCTAAAACAAACTAAAAAATCAAGAAATTTGCGAGATGCAGCCATAGAAATCGTAACCTGGACAAAATTTGGCGATTTTGATCTGACAACACTGATCCTAACCTCAATCTTCTCTAAAAATTATTTTTTGTGTATCCCATGTAGCAAAAAATAATTAAAATTAACAACGTAATTAGCATAGGGTAGCACACATAAAAATTTTTGTCATTTTTGATATGATTTAAATTTGTTCTGGTGAATGACATTAATGACACTTTTTGTGTGAATTGGCCTTTAAATTAAAGATGCATTTAGATTTCTACAATCTACTTGATGCACATTAATAAAAGAGAATACCTTGTTTATAGTCAAGCATTTCCTCCACGAAAATATCTCGATAATTTTTTATTTTGGTTCTGAAAGGATAAGGACTGATCATTGTGACGTCATGCCCCTTTTCCGCCAAAGTCTTCAGTAATTTGCTGCCTAAAATGTGGTGACTTTTGCTCGGGAAGTGAAAAATCCCCAAAATTCGGGCACAATCCACATTAAAAATTACAACAAAAACGAGAAAAATTCCACAAACTCTCATGACACTTAAAGATTAACAAATCATTTTGATAAGAATTCTATTTCAAGAGATAACAAACTACAACGATTAACCTTCAATTTAATCATTTTTCGGCTTAAACAACTTACGAATTTTTCTAACAACAAACCTAATTACAAACAAAACTATTTTAACAACAATAAAAACCACACAAAAGAAAAACCCAATAACATCGACAAGGTAGTATTTATACCATGGAAGTTTCGTTGCGAAAGTCTTTAAATGGTCACCAGTCCCATGCTTTATCACATGCTCCACCCAAAAAATTGCCAAATCCATGGGTTTCATGGGTTGCTCCCGCAACAAGGACGAGTAAAAACCCATTTTCTTTCGATATCTAAAATAGTGGTAACTAGGCAACGCGTTCTTTACAGCACCCATTCGGGTGTCATAAATCTTACATCGGATTGGTTAAAACTTCTGTGGTTTTATTAAATAGATTGTCTTCGGTGATGTCGTCGGGACTCAAGTGAGCCCCAAACTGTCTCGAAAGAGCAAAAGCGGCGTTTGTGAGTTGGTCCCCAATAAAAGGCAAACAAAGTAGTGGTTTATTGAAGTGAATTGATTCAATGAAACTTAAAGTACCACAATGGGAGATGAATAATTTAACATTTGGGTGTGCTAAAATCAAAAATTAAAAAAAATGCCAAAATTTGTGTTTGAATCACCCAAAATTTCCAATTGTGGTGCCCATTTGACAATTTTGATGTTTTTGGGTAAATCAGTAACGTTTTCGTTTTCGAATTTCCATAGGATTTTCTGTGGTAGTTTCCCAAGTGCCTTGATTATGCCTGAAAGTGTGTTTTTTTGTAAATTGGCCGATTTTATTTGGCTTCCTAGACTGAAGAAAATCGCTCCGTTTTTGGCACTTTTGAGGAATTTCTCCAAGTCCTACAAAAAAAATAAAAAATTTCAAATTTGAGAAAGGTGAAATAGTGGGCTCACTTGAGGCAATTGTTTCAATTCGTCGATGTGAAACCCGCCTACTGGGATAATACTCGGCGTGTGAGGCCTTGGAGTCTCAAAACTGAAATGTGAAACGGCCAAAACTAGTGCAATATTCTCCTTGAGCTCCTCCACACTTGGGGGATGCTCAAAATACCGTTGGAGGATCTCGAATTGGGCTTGGTTTCGTCGTGGGAGAAACAAGTTATAACCCAGATTGAGCAACGTCATAATAACACGATTTTTGAACGACATTTCCTCACTTGTGAATAATGCGGCTCCGGGAACGTAGGAAAAAGGCAAAGTGTTTCCGGTGAAATCGTTCAAAAACAGCGTATTCCCAAATGATGAAACGTAAATCACCGGAGCGTGAAAAACATGCCCGAAGATGAGCGAAGCTTCGTTGAAAAACCAATCAATTATCACCAAATCGAAATGGGTTTTTGAGGCGAGGAGTTGTTGCACTTGAGCATTTTTGAACGTGTTTTCGGTGTGTGTCAAAGTCATGTTTCGAAGTGTTTCCAATTCGCTGTGTTTGTCTTTGACGAAGTACATTTTTTCACGTTCTGTGGAAACGCAATTGTGAGAAAATCCCAAAAAAAAAAATAAATAATAATAATAAAGCAGAAATTTCATTTCATTTCAAATTTTTACAGTAGATACCTTTTATAACGAAGGCATCCAATAAGAAAGGATTTTTGGAAAATCAACCCCTAAGGGGGTTAAATGGAGTGGTGAATTCGAAAGTTTAAAGCTATAGCCATGAAAATTGGTATTTAGGCTTTCGGTTAAAAATAAAAAAATATGTATTTTACCATTTTTGGAAATTTCACCCCCAAGGGGTTGAACAAGGGTAAAAGGTCGTAAAATATTTGTATTTTTTTTAAAGTTAAATTCATGAAAATTGGTATTTGGGCTCTCAGTTAAAAACGAAAAAACACGTGTTTTAGGATTTTGGAAATTTTCATCCCCAAAGGGGTCAAACAAGAGATGAAAATTTGTATAAATATTTATAAATTCGTCATTTTTGAAGTTATATTTATGGAAATTGGGATTTGGGCTTTCGGTTAAAAATGAAAAAACACGTGTTTTAGGATTTTTGAATTCCATCCTCTAGGGGGTTAAACAGGGATGACAATTTGTATTAAAATATGTCATTTATAAAGTTAAATCCTTGAAAATTTGTATTTAAGCTTTCGATTAAAAATCAAGTAATACGTGTTTAAGGATTTTTAGAAAATAAAACTTCGTAAAATATTCGGTTTTTTTTAAGCTAAATTTATGAAAATTGGTATTTGGGTGTTCAGTTAAAAACAAAATAGCACGTGTTTCAAGATTTTGGAGAATTCTATCCCTAAGGGGGTCAAATAAGGGATGAAATTTTGTACAAATATGTATTATAGTTAAACATGGAATGAAAATTTGTATCAAAATTTGTCATTGTTAAGTAATATCCATGAAATAAGACTTAAAATTTTACGGTTTTTAAATAAGTTATAAAAGACGGACTTTTTATTTTTACTACGAAGTTCATAATAAATTATGTGTTGCTATATTTTGTTAGTAAGTTTCTTAGCCCTTCTGCGTTTTGAAATAGTTATAACAGCTAGTTATAACATAAAAATAAAAATAGTTATTATAAACAATATAAAATTTAAATAAAAATAAATTCGGAAGTTACTTAATAACTAAAAGTAAAGAAAGAAATCATTGCCAGTCGCTCAAAAACAGAAAGAAAAAACAAGAAAGAATTCTTTAAGAAGAAATGAAGAAAAAAACAAAAATTATCCAAAAAAAATCACACTCACGTTTGAAATCCTCCAAATTTTCGACCAAAAAAATATCCCTGTAGTTGTCAATGGGCTCTTTCATGGGATACGAACTAATCATGGTGACCTGATGCCCCCTTTTGGCCAAGTTTTTTAACAAAACTTTACCCACTGATGTGTGACTCGCCCCCGCATGGTTGAACACACCCAAAATTTTTGCACTTTGACAAAATGCAAAACAAAGGGAAATTAATAACAACTTCATGACGACAAGTCTCAAATTAAATTGAAATCAAATTGAATTGATTTTTTATCGTCAAGTATCCATTGAATTTCGTAACATTATTTCAAGTGATCAAAATCCAATCAGTGCTAGATTTTCACTCAAAATGATGTCAAAACTATTTCTCTTCGTGGTTTTTATTAATTGTGGTCATTGTGCCAATATTTTGGGGCTGTATTTTCACGCGGGAAAAAGCCACCACATTCTGGGCGAAATGCTTTTGAAAGAATTGGCCACAAGGGGGCACAATGTCACAATGGCCAGCCCTTTCCCACTCAAGGAACCCTTCCCTAACTACACTGACATTCACCTGACCGGAATTTTGGAAGACCAATTAGGTAAAAATCAAGTTTTCTTAGTATTACCATAGTTATGACATTACATTGCCATAGCAATACAATGTTACTATGGTTATACTCTCATACAGTGTTGCCAGGTATAATGAATTTTTTCATGTTACTCTGGTGATTTGTGAAAATTCTAATATCTGGTGATTTTTTGGAAATGAAAAAAAACTGTTTTTCAGAAACTTGATTATTTCGTCATTTTTTTTTTAAGAAAGTCCACTAAATTGGTTAAAAATAGTTTTGTTTATTTTTTTTACAAGATTTTACTAGACAGGATCGAGAATGACGATTTTTTTTGTCCTTTTCGGATACTTTTTCAGCTAGAAATACCATTATTTTGCAAAATTTCGTTAAAAACAATCCAAAAATTCAACAAGTTGGACCAAAAACTGTGTTATTTTTGCCACCTTTGTATGATATAAACAAAAATTCAAATCAAAATTGATATAATTTTTCATTTACTTTGAAAAATTTTGTCCAAACGCTTAAAAATCACAAAAACAATAATTGATATTGATGTTATTTTTTTTTGTTTCACTCGATTTAACTGGTTTTTGGAGCAAAATAAGACAAAAAGAAGCCGAGAATGTTTTTGGGCACGTTTTTGTATTACAGTCTCAGGTTTTTTGCGAGATTTCGCTAAAACGAACTGAAAAATCAACATATTTAGTAGAAAATTACTTAATTTTTGTATTTCTTGTGAGTTTTGCCACGTTTTTCAGCTAGAAACGCAATTATTTCGCAAAATTGATTAAAAACAAGCCAAAAAAAAACACAAAATTAAGCCGAAAATGATATAATTTTTTCCTTTCTCGAAAGTTTAGGCAGATTTTGAAGTTGAAAACAAAGAATCAGGCTAAAAAATTAAATCGAAATTCATATCATTTTTCAATTATTTTGAAAAAAATTGTCCAAACACACTTTAAAAAAAATCACCAAAATATTAGATATTGATGTCATTTTTTTGTTCATTTCACTCAAT